AGGACATAGGATGAAGGCCCTCACTGGATGCCAGTGCCGTGCCCTTGGACTTTCCAGCCTCCGGAACCAAATATATTTCTGTTGTTTATAAACTAGCTAGTCTCAGGGATTCCATTGTAACAACACAAAACAGACTAAGACACTAAGATATTTTAATTTTGTTTAGCTTGATTTTCATGATTTCAGGGATACCATGATGTGGAAGGTAAAACATTTTTAATGATTTTTTAAAAGACTGTGAATTTAGATGAGGAGCTTGACCTAGACTCTGAGCTAGCACACTGAAGTGAAAAAAGATGATATGTAGAAAGATGGGCTGTGGGTCCAGGAACCCTTCCATACCCATCTATCTTGGTCGAAGACCCATTTTGTGCTGCCATCCAATGCCAAACTTCTAATTTTCATTGCAAGAGAGAATCACATGACTTGAGTATATTCTTGATGAATGTGATTTAAAAATATCCTTTATCCTTCCTGTCCATCAAGTTTTCCAAATTCTTGTCATTTCTAAAGGGGGAAGTAGTAACTCAACAAAGTCAGAGGGCTTTTTTGGTTGGCTCTTTGCCAAAATGCCTATAGGTTAGAGGGTTACACAGAGAATCTACTTTAAAGCAGTTTTACATTAAGTATCTGTGGATTGCTGTTTGTCAAACATCAGAAACAATTTTATTTTGGGGAATAGAAAGAGAATTGTTAAGTATGCTTCTGATTAATGGGATTACTGGCATTCATTAGAAGGATTGAAAGATAAAATCCCATAAACAAAATTTTTAACTGTTACCTATGATGTATAAGGATACGTTAGTTTATTTGTTACAATAACTTACATGCATGCACTGGCTTGGAGCCTATATCACAAAACTGCCTTGGTTATTTGAAAATATAACATTGTAGATTATGTTTTCCACATATAAAAAAACGTTTGCTATGTGAATAATCATGTCTGAACTGGGTAAAAATAGTTCAGTGGGCAGGTATATGTAGCGAAAGAGAATGGAGGTATAAGTGCGTGAATCTGAGGCTATAGCCTGTTGATCTGGATAGCTGAGGCTCCAGATCGATCTCGGAGCTGGGGGATTACACAGGTATTGCCAAATACCTCAGGCTGCTGGGTCTTCTGTGGTCCCGGGAAGAATTTGAGGATGAGAGAAAAGAGAACGTGCCAGTTCTCTAGATGTGACAGTCCTTGTGGCAGTGTGATATCCCCCCAAGGAGGGGCTGAGTTGTTGGAAATTATTCAGTGGAGGGGCCTAGGATAGTGGCAGGAGGCAGAGGTGCTAAGAGGGATACAGGGGCAGAAGCTAAGCTCATAGAGTGGAAATAGGCAGGATTCCAGAAGTGGGCAGCCTTCCAGAAGTGGTGTGCCCAGTATTCTTTTATTCACTAGTTTATGGACTTCTTTGGCAAGGACACTTTTTAATGAAGTCTCTTTGGAAGAAAATTTGCATGGCTGAGATGCTGGGTTTTGGACTTGATGGAACTGCTGCCGAGTTAAAATAGCTTTTTTGTGTGTGCAGGTAGTGTGAAAGAGCCACATACACTATCAGCAAAACCTCTGTCTGAGAGAGGTAAAGAGGCAGACAGTCAAAATTAATTGGAGCAGTCAGCTTGTGCAGACCAGAAATCTGCATCATTGACACCAAAGCAAGTTGGGCTTGGGCAGTAGATGCTAGAGATGTTAAAAATGGGACTTAGGGAGCTAGACTGCCTGGATCTGAATTCTAGCACCTCTTCACAATTGCTGAGTATTATGGCCGAGATACCAACTCTCTGTCCTATGTTAAGTGAGACTACTGACAGTACCTGTTTTATATCGTTATCTACCTATCCATCTATCTGTTGTCAGTATCATCATATCATCATGTAATACTAATTTGTAGATATATGTATACAGACTCAATTATTATGATCATCACCCAATACTTAACCAGAGCTTTATATGTGTTAACCCATTTAATCCGCCAGAATGACAGACATCAAAATGGACATGGCAGCCAGGAGAAAGTGTACAATGTACAAAAAGGGGTGCCTGCCTTCTCTGTCTAGCTAAGGCCTCTCTACACCTTATCACCATGCGATCCAGTCCCCACCCCAATGACTTGTCTGCCCTCCTCTCCTTTTTTTACAACATTGCTCCTAGACCACTTAATTGGCACTGACTAATTGGCTGGCCTTGAACTCATGTCTGCATCGATGGATGGATGCCCTATTTGTATCCATCTCCCTGGCCTTGTTTTGAGGTCTCAGAAGACAGGAGTGATGTGTTCTATTTACCATCCTAGAGTCAGAGAAGATTTGTGGTTCTTTTTTGATCAGATGAGGACCCAGAGTTCTGCACAGTATTCTTCTTAAACACAAAGTTAGGTTCTTCTTACAGGGGCCAAGGGAGAGAGAATTTGTAGAGACCTTTAGTTCTCAGTCACTTCTGACAGGGATTGCCTTTCTAGTGTCTACCTCTAAAAAGTCATCATGTTCCTCAGGTTTCTTTTTCCCTTTGCACAAATTTAGCTTCAGGCAGACTCAAGCACAGCTCTTAGGTTTGTAAAACCTTGACAAGACCTGGAGCCTTTAGTTAATACAGAGCCCCCTGGCAAGGAACAGCTTCAGAGGTAAGCTGTAAGCAGGGGCTTGTTTGACGGTTCCTGGGGGATTAGAGATGGGTGAGAGTTTGTTCATTTATACTTCCCATTCTATTAAGAATCCCACCAAACTGGCCCACTGGGTGGCTGGAATAGAGGAAGTGCGGGGAAGCAGCTGGCACAAAGATCTACCCAGCCTACTGGTTGAGGATTTTCCCCCCCTTAAAGACATACATTGCCAGGAAAAGCTAACAAAAATTTCGAGGCAGATTTGGAAGAATTAAATTATTCTTAGGCATATTGCCTGGTTTCTAAGCATTTAGGGATATGTAAATGTTCGTGTTCTTTAGAGGTCTGTGTCTCTTTTGTACAGAGTACATTAGTACTAAATAAAAATGAGATTTGCTAGTTCTACATTTTCATGTGAATTTATGCAGTGAATATTTAATTTGATTCTGGATCTTTCACAAGGAAAAGCTTTTTTCAAACAAATAATATAGCTTATTTTCTGATACACTCCACTGGTTGCTCTAGTTTTTTTCTCAGACAACTGAAAGGCAAAGTCAAGTACTATCTCCAATTAATATTCTTGCTCCACAAAGACTTCCAGTGTTTGTTTTTGCTTCTTTTAATATGTAACTCTCCTAAGGGTGTTATTGTATTACAGCTAAGAGGCTTTAACCATGTAAAGTTGAATACTTTACACTTCTGAATGCCAACATAACAATTAATCTGTGATTAGATTTTGCTTTTTTAAGATGCCTCCACTGAAGAGTGCCTATAATATTAAACTTCCAAAGTGTTCCACTCTTTAAGACTTATAAAAGCTCTCTTTGATACGGCCCACTGTAATGGTGTGGCTGTTGTTTTTTATTGCTTTATTGTGCAGCCCGCTTAACTGAAACCTTTGGGTGGCTTTTACTCTTTATAATAAAGATAACATTGAGAAGTGCCGGGAGTACAAAGTGTATATGTGTGCATGCTGTTCTCAGCCATCTATTCTGACTTGGTGACTCTCTAATTCCCTTGCCTCCACTATGTTTAAGGATAAAAAAAAAAAAAGAAAAACACTTCCGTTTCCCATTTCCTCCATTGAGCTCTTTATAGAGATCTGCAGCAACCATTGCTACTTCCTCTCTGATACTTTTTTAACTCCTTAAGACGTGGTTATTGCCCTCATTATTGGACTGGAATCTGCATCATGATTCTATCATGGGGGAAGTTCCAACTTATTTAGCCTTGACTCAATCTCTCCTGTCTGGATGCCTTTCTAGGATTTAGTTTTAGGGATCACATTTTCCTACTTGAACTCTTGTTCTTTGTTTTTGGGACGTTGTCTCTAGACCTTGACTTTCCCTCAGTTACATACATTGCACTTCACTATTTGGCCCTTAGATTATTTTTTTAACTTTTAATTTGTCCTTGTGAGCGCTTCCATTCCATTGAGTTCAGCCTTGCCTAATTGTGGCTGATTGCCAAACCTCTGGCGTGTTTCCTCTTCTGAATCACAGACCAGGATTTCAGTCAGCCACTAGCACACTTGCACAGGGGTACCCAGAATCCCTTTCACCTGGCTTCTCTTTGCCTGATAGTGTTACAAACTGTCATTAATGCAGGATCAGGCACCCTTTGCTCCTCTCATTCTTGCCCCACATTTAAGCATTTGCCACATCCCACATGTTCTTTCCCTGGAGTGTTTATTTCACTCCTCCCCTTTCCTCACCTGCTGCTGCCGCCTTGGTTTGTGTCCTCACAGTCTCTTGCCCAGACCTCTGCAATGCACCTTTCTCACACACTGTGGTTAGATTTGATATTCCTCAAGTGCAGGTCTAGTCCTGTTGCTCACTTTTCTCCAAGCTCTTTCAGTGTTCCACATTGAGGGCTGAGTTACTCACAAAGTCAGCACGGGTGTACGTGATGTCCGACAGCCCCTGCCTAAATCTCTGACCCAAATCCCGCTGCTCCCTCTTTGGCCTCAGGCAGATTGGACTGCCTGTTCTAGCTCTTCTCAGAATATGACATTTTCTTAGTCACTTCTGTAACTAGCATCCCACCACACATTCCATTCTGTCTTCAGATTCCTGCAGTTAGTGTGGTTTCTCCCTCATCTGAACCCCGTGGTGTTTAGTTTCTGCCTCTCTTATGATATATACTAGTGCAGTGGCTCTTTGTGTACTAGTCTTATCTCTGAGACATTGCCACATGACAGCACTCCTCTCCTCTGCCCCCGCCGAGTGTTCTTGGAAGGGAGGGACTGCCTTACTAATTTTTGTTGTGTATACTGTGTCAAGCATTAGCACACTGGCCTGTGTCCGTCTGCCAAATCCATTAAGTACTTGTTGAATGAAAGTAGAAATTCCAGTTAATACAGATGGCAAAGTGTGTTGTTCATTCTTAAATCTTGTTTTTTTTCATTCCTAGGTGAAGCTCATGTGTGGAGTGCCACGGTACAATTAGATGACAGATGGACAGTGTGACAAAAGTGCCAGAAAGGATTGGGCCTCACTGTGAGAGTCAGCCTGGATTCAAAGTGTTGACAAGTTGCTGAAAAGGAAGCCAGTGGGAAGACTGTGGCACGCAGAGGAAGTGGAACCCTGTCTTCAGTCACACCATTGATGGAGGACAGATGGACAGCTGTATGGCCAATCACCTCTCCTCTTAAACCTTTGGAGAGTGGTCCTTTGTCTTCTGCTGGACACATAATAGGAATTCTGACACACTCTTTGAATTCACTTTTCATAAAAACGTAAAATCAGACTGCTCTGTATAACCAGGCTCAACTGTTACATGGTAGCAGATTTGCAAACATGAGTGCTGAGGGGTACCAGTACAGAGCGCTGTATGATTATAAAAAGGAAAGAGAAGAAGATATTGACTTGCACTTGGGTGACATATTGACTGTGAATAAAGGTTCTTTAGTAGCTCATGGATTCACTGATGGACAGGAGTCCAGGCCTGAAGAAATTGGCTGGTTAAATGGCTATAACGAAACCACAGGGGAAAGGGGGGACTTTCCAGGAACTTATGTAGAATATATTGGAAGGAAAAAAATCTCGCCTCCCACACCAAAGCCCCGGCCACCTCGTCCTCTTCCTGTTGCACCAGGTTCTTCCAAAACTGAAGCAGATGTGGAGCAGCAAGGTCAGTATTGATAACTGGCTGCTTAATGGCTCCTTTTTTTTTTTTCTTTTTAAGGAAAAGTCTTAAGTTTGGGTTGGGTTGTTACGTTCCGGGCGGAAGTTATCTTGACAACTGTGCCCAAATTGATGTATGGTACATAAAAGCTTGGTCAGTCATTACACAGCTGGAAATTTGTGTTTGTGGGGTTGGAAATTGTAAGAATAGGGACACAGCATCTGAGAACCTGTTTAGTAAGTATCTTTCAATGCTATTATAATTGTCATTGAATTAAATACCTATTATATTTCTTATTTTTGTAATTGGCATTGTAGGTGGTATTCCTAGTCTGAAAATATGAAATCTAAAATGCTGAAAAGCCCAAAACTTTCTGACACCCAAAGGAAATTCTCACTGGAGAATTTTCAAATTAAGAGTGGTTAAGTGGTATAATGCAAATATTCCAAAATCCAAAACAACATGAAATCTAGAACACTTTTGGTTCCAAGCATTTCAGATAAGGAATACTCAACCTGTGTATATCTAATAATAATTTTGGGAAAGTGGAGGGTAAGTCTAATATAAGTATATTTAATATGGTTTGTATGGAAAAATGTAAAGAGTAATAAAATGACCACAGAACTCAGCTGAGAAGAAACCATTGTTTTTATAACCCGGTATCTACCTCTTGGTTTCCTCTCCAGGATTGCTGTGGCCAAAGCTGAAACCCAATCCTATAGTTAGTATAAAAGTAAAGGGATTTTGCTTCCGTTGTGGGTAGTGTCATTTGTAGCATTAATGCCTATAGTCTGGTTTGCCTTCATAAGGGGAAAAAAAATTCACTGAATACTTTTCTTAAATGGAAACCACCTTCATTCAAAAACCACTTACTGCTTATTGGAGATGATACATACTTGCATTTCGGGCACAGCCGTCTTTAAGGTTAATCTTCTGTTTCACACAGAGACAAGCCTCATGCTTTGCTTTGCTGTTATCAGCTTTGTCAAATACCGGTTTCCTCACTAGTAAATCACAAGCATTTTTCTTTTTTCTCTTGTGTAGTCTTTTTTCTTAGGGACTAAGAAAGGAATAAGAAGGAATGTGTAAGATGGGTGGGCCTAACTGTAGTAGTTATATATTGAGGAGACCTGACTGGCATCACAGGGTATATGAAAATGCTGGAAGAGATTCTGATACCACTAGTAATCTATTATGCCTTCTTTAATGTTGCCTTATTCTAACACAAGTGAATAAGACAATGAGAAAAGAGAAGCAGAAAGCAAGGGTAAGAGCTGCCTTTCAGTACTGAGTAATAATAGGACTGGGAGTATTGTGCTATAGTCAAGGAATTTATTAATGATGCCTGAAGAGAAGCTCGTTTCTTTCCCATCCGCAGCCCAAAGGGAATACTTATTTCATAAATGTTATACTTTATAATGTTCAAATAATACCTTTTGTTATATTGTTCAGAACCCAAAGTTAATTTTTCTTTGCAGATGAATAAAGAAACTGTGACTCTCTGCACGTACATAAGTGATTTCGTCAACCATTGCAGCACTTAGCAGATTGAAGATACATACGTATTTGTTTTTCTCCACCAAGTTATATGTTTTTGACTTTTCATTTTTTTTTAAGTTAAAAAGACTTTCTTCAATAGGCTAATTCAAATGGAAAAATGATTTAATTTGTCCCAGAATACAGAGTTACACAGAATCATAAAAATATCTCAGTTGAATTACAGAAGATTATTTAAAAGGTAGAATAGGGGCACCTTATCAAGATTAGTTACAAAACAATTTTATAAAAGCAGTTTCTAAACAAAATTGCATTTGATAATTGCTATCAGGTGTAAGTTTCTTTGGATATGGTGTACAGAAAAGCAAGTCTTTCCTTATAGGAAGAGTCATTTTCTCTTTTTATATCCTAAACTGTTTTATAATGCTTGCTTTCTCATATAATGTGATTACAATTGAGAATTTTAGCAGCTTTTTCATTTTTTTTTAATACATGGAAAGGTGGAGTGAAATGAAAATTTTTAGCTGAATTCAAGAAAAAGGCCCATGATAATGTGCATGAAAGTATTAGAGCCTGAATATAAATGAGAAATTAGGAATAACTGAAAGGTTGGAAAGAGTGTGTTGGGGGGTCGTGTGGGGAGTGTAATACTAAACATTCAATTTTCTAGAAATGTTGGTCTTGTATTCTCATTTAAATATTCCTATGAAGTGAGAATTCAATAGCTCCTGTGAGTTGCATGTTGAATTGATATGGAAAGCAGTTATAAGGACACATTTTATATGTTGGAAGCTATGAGACTGGTTTCTTTTGCCTCTGTATTTCTTTGAAAAGCTTTTACAGTGACAAATTGTGTGGAGGCAAGAAATGATAGTTCTGTTCTATTCTTACTGTAATTGAATTATTTAGTCCTTTTCTCTTTTCTTTTAACACCCTCCACCTGACTTAGCCAGTTTTTCATGTCATGCTGTGTTGATTGCATTTAGAAGGTTATTCCTCACCAACTCCCCACCCCAGGTCTAGGAACCACATGGCAGTTTTGTTTTGTGGACTTGGCACACCTCGTGAATGGGCAGCAGCATAGATAGAGGGGGCGAGGACAGCTTGCATGCCTATCACGTGTCTGTGTCCTGCTGAGCCTTGCTACCCTCTCTATTTTAAAAGGAAATTGTCATTAGACTCTCGTCAAAAATACATTCTGTGAGAGATTCCTTCCTGTACAATAGAGTCTACTTTTTTTCTTTGCTTATATGTTCGTGGAAATAAAGCTGTGACATTTAACTTTTAGGGAGAAAGTGTCAAAAAACCCCATTAGAAAATCTTATATACAGCTCTTCTCAGGAACATGTACTTTCTTCATGCAGTTTTTTAGGAAGCGCTGGCGTATAGATTGAATGAAGTTTTAATTGGATAATCTTGGATGTTTTTGGACTTAAATACATTTAGTAAGCATGGCCTGAGTCCTTGTTTTGTGCTAGAAAGCAAAGATAAAAGATGAAATCAAGACTGAAGAGCCAGTGTGCCCTGAGATGCTCTCTCATGCCTCCCTCCCACCTTAGGGCTGTACTTTGTCCCCTCTGTTCAGACATCTGTCTGACTGACCCACTCTCACTTCTTTGCTCAAATCTACTCATGGAGTCTGGCTCTACTCACGTGACTCCATGCTGGGACCTACCTCCCTGCTTTTGCAAATCATTGATTACTTAACCCACAATATCATTTACTTACTATATTTATTGTTCATTGTCTGTTTCCTCTGTTAGATTTTTCAGTTCCACAAGGGGAGGGATCTTTGTGGCCCCCCATTATCCTAAGTATCTAGGACAGTGTGGTAGGTTCCCAGCATGCTGGTAAACATGTGCTGCTTCAGCTCATCATCTAGCTATTTTACTTTCTGCATTGCTTTTGAAATTGGCCACGTGCTCTGAATGTCATGTGCAGTCATACATTAATGACCCATCCTGTTTTAGAAAATAACAGCTTATTTGTTATCTACATCCTCCACATCTGAGGCATCCTGCCTTGGCCTTAACCATTGCCTGGTATGTCTCCAGAACTCTTATTTTCTTCACCAGGGCCTGGTACAGGTAGTTCTGCTGGTGGGAAAGTGGGTTAAGCTGACAGTGCCTTCAGTCACTGAAGCCAAGTGGCCAAGTGTGTAGAGGGTGTGTCATGGTCAGCGAGTGTCCTCAGGGCAAATTCTGTGTCCTTTTTCCCATCCTTTTATCTCCTTCCCTTTGCACGGAGGCTAAAATCACTAATATGAGAATCACATTTTATTTCATTTTTTTTCTGAGCCAGTAGAACCCTATGTTATGTTCTTTGGAGAGAACCTCTTCTGTGTTTCATATAGATAAAGAATGTACTGAGTGTGCAAGGTGGGTGTTAACATGCCCTTGGGTGAGGCAGCTGTGAAAGACAATCTTCTGGCTTTTTCTGCATTAGGCTGCTCAGTTCCTGGCATCCCATTCCACCACATACAGCCCCATTCAGCCAGGGTTCTATGTTTTCTCTTGTACACAAGGAAATGAGTTGATTGAAAGTGGGGATATAGGGATATGGGAATAAAAATATATTCCTCTGTCATATGTAAGCCATCCAGTGGGGCTATTTCTCAAGACAGTGGTTTTAACTCTTACTTTGAGATCCTTTAATTAAAGTCGTGCTAATGCAGAATATTTACATGAGTGAGAGTCTGCCCATGTTAGTTTGTGTAGTGCATTGAAACCTGCTAACATGAGAGATTACTTATGAGTGTGAGTCCATACCCACCTCCTTCCTGACCTACACAACCCCCTGGCTGCCCCTGCAGACTCTGACAGTGGATTTCAGCTGGTTTCAAATCTAAAACATAAAGCATGCATTTGGTGTGACTTATTTTAAATCTTGATCAAAATCCCTCTAAACAGAAAAAAAAAAAGCCTGCAATTGGTGGTGGTTTTCATTATTTCCCAAGGCATGCTGTTATTACATTTTTCACACTCAGCATTTGAGTGTCCCTTCCTGGTGGTTGTTCCCTGTCTAGTAAGCAGGGCTGCAATAAATCACAAACATTGACTACACTGTACAGAGGTCACAGAAAATAGTGACCTGATACCAAATTACATGCCTCTGCTGAGCCCGTTGGTCAGAACCTACAGCTGTCTCCTTGCGGCAAATAGTACTAGTGCAAGTAATCTGCTTTGCTTCACAAATTGCTGCTTTTATGAATTCTGTTTTCTTTCAGAATATACCTTCTCATAACATTCTTCACCTTCCTCCCTGCTTAAATAAGCTTTTGCTGTGAACTTGGAGGTTTGTCTTGTTAAGCCCCAGAGTGATGGGGTAAACCATCCAATTTATGGTGCTGACTTCTCATTCTGCATCTATCCACCACTCTGTCATTGCGAAATAGTTGGGTCAGTTACGGGATCATAGTAGGCCTTTGAGATCTATCTCGAACTTCTGACCAATCCAAAAAGTTCATCAGGACATTGTGGAGATTTTTACCCAGGCATAAAAATTTAAGT